TATTTGTGCAGGATACTCTGTCGCTCAGGCTCCTCGCCTTCTCTCTGAGGATGATGAAACCATCGTAACAGGTGAAGACTTTCAAAAAGCAGCTAATCAGGAAGCAGCTGGCTGACCTATAGATTTACTGATTGGTGTGTTGTTGAACAGGAGCTCCTCGGGACCGTATGGAAGACGCTCATGGCTCGGTGCTGCTGGCCGTCAAGCGCTCTGATAAACTGATGATTCGCCAGAAGCTGCGCGGTCAACAGATGGGCTCGTATTTTGGGAACGCCTTGGCAATTGCTGACCTCAATAATGACGGGTGAGGAATGGTTTATGGGTCACATGACCCACACTCGGTCAGTACCTTTAGTAAAATCTTCCTATGACAACGGCTCAGTGGGAACCACAGAGCACCTTAATCTGAGGAACATGTTTCAGGAACACTCACTGAGCTGCTTTTTGTCCCGCAGGTGGAACGACCTGCTGGTGGGCGCTCCTTTTTATTTCCACCGTCAGACGGAGGTGGGCGGGGCAGTTTATGTCTACGTGAACGTAGGAGGGAGGTTCAATTCTGAGCCCAGCGTGGTGCTAAAGGGGCCGGCGGGGTCGGCGTTCGGCATGGCTGTGGCCGCTGCAGGAGACCTCAACCAGGACGGCTTCCAGGGTGAGGGCTCGACGTGATGCTGGTGTTTTCGTGATCGGTAATCAGTAGTCATGGTGACGGGTCTTTGGTCGTTCCAGACTTTGCCATCGGAGCTCCTTTTCATGAAGCAGGAAGTGTGATGATCTGGACAGGAAGCAGTGAGGGCATCTCTGCAGAGCCGAGCCAGGTCTCACAGAAACACTTTCTATGTTTGACCCTGGACTTCCAACCAACTCTGAACCATCAGAGAGCAGACATGTCCTCACGGGACAGACCGGTTTTGACAGTGATGGTTTTTAAATTGTGTGCAGACACACCTGTGACCCCGCCTCCTTCTCTGTACAGGTGATCCGAGGCAGCACGGTCTCCCCTGTTTTCGGGACTTTTGGCTACTCCCTTTCTGCAGGCGGGGATGTTGATGGGAACTATTACCCGGACCTGCTGGTTGGTTCTCTCGATGATACCGTTGTTCTGTTCAGGTACCAACTTCTGCGCTAAATAGTGCTCATCTAAAGTACATTTTGAAGTCCTCAAAGTACTGAACATTAGCACTTACTGCTAATTAAGAGCTCCAGAATAACTAAATTTATGCATTTATTAATGGACTGATGTGTTGATCCTCAGGAGTCGACCGGTCATCCATTTAAATAAAACACTCACAGTTTCTCCGACCATCGTGGACCCGAACAGCTGTGACTTCTGGTGAGAAGCTACCATCAGCTCACAGACACACTCAGTATGGAGGTGTTGTCACACGATAACATGCTAACAGCCCGACTCTCTCAGTATACAGGTGGAAGTGTGTTTCTTCTACATGTTCAACAGGGGAGAGAAGAGCGACAGAGACAACATCAGTGAGTCAAAGACTTTCAATTACAAAACAATGTACCCACGTATCTGATCATGCTAACTTCTGCGAAGGTTGGAAGGCTGGGCTGGAAGGTTTGGCTCAGTGGAGGAGAGCGTACGAGTGGCCAAAGCAGGACTGCAGGGAGATGTCCTGAGCCCAATTAAACCAGGAAGTATTGTTCAGACGCGGTAGTACACCTGTAACATGTCTACCTGGCAGGTTCAGAATCAGTCCCGTTTCATTAGTTTTTGATGGCGTTTGATGCAAGAGTTGGACAACTGTGGTTGTCCCTGTATTTACATATGTTTCCTGTTTGCTTTCCGATGCCCATAGCTGCGGGTTTCCTTCAGTTTAAGGGTGCATTA